TGTGTGTGTGCACTTTGGATGGGATAAATGCAGAGCACTAATTCCAAGTGTGGGTCACCATACTTGGCCACGTCACGTCACTTTCACTTTTTCACTTTCAAATGCATAAATATAGAGTCAGGTGTTTGATGACCGTATCACTTACTCACCACATCTGCTTGCAAAACCTCTCACAGTGACACATACATGGATCATCGTGAAGGCCAACACAAAGGTCTAAGATTTACCTATTACACGACACTCACTACTGACTCATTAAAGCACTCAAAAGACCAAAACCAGGAGTAATTTAACATCGAAGCATGACCAGTCAATGCATGAATACATTTCCAGTTCCAAAACAATGGCAATGTTGAATTAGTGCTTATTTGCTGATGGTTTTGCTCACTGTCAAGGCGGTTTTACAGACAGGACAACTGTCAACTCACCTACTGAAAGCATAACAAAAGACGACCATGGTATTTGGACATGTCCCATGTCCCTTGGCGTATCATGTCAATATCTGATACCATAACACTATACCATAATAGCCCCAAACTACATTTATAAAGGTCAACATGACTGAAATATGCAAAACGCGCATTATAATGTGACTGACAGTGTTGGATAACTTACCTGCGAGTGTTTTTGACACTGGAGCAGCTTGTGAGAGACTGGCAAATCCTAGTAAACACACACCTCCACGAAGAGCCTCCATCCTCAGCACTGCAGCTAATCCACTACCTCAACTACCTAGAAACAGCTATCACATCTAAATAAATACCGCAAAAGACGCCTAAATTGGCTCATCTATGTCTATGTACATCTATATCGTTATATCCGCCGTGTCAAAGACTCATGTTGTGTGATATTAGTCATAGGTCGCGTTATGAGCGTTAGCTAACACGACAGTTCTGTGATGTTTATGAAGCTAAGCTAATGCTAACCGCTACCGGCGTCTTATTTACGATTGTGTCTCATCGTTTTAAACCGCTCGTTCGTTTACTACCTCTCTCGGACGATTAAATGTGCGGATATGTCTTTTCCCAGCATTGTAAAGCTTCTGGGTTCGTGGAAAAATCAAAAGCGCAGTAAACAGAGTGGTCCAGCATCACCTTTCCGTACGAGCGCCATGTTTCGTGACGTCGCGGTGACAGAAACTGACGGCGATTAGATGTCAGAGAGAGAAAAGAGAGAGAGAAAAGAGAGAGAGAGATTGTGTGAGAGAGAAAAGAGAGAGAGAAAAGAGAGAGAGAAAAGAGAGAGAGAGATTGTGTGAGAGAGAAAAGAGAGAGAGAAAAGAGAGAGAGAGAGATTGTGTGAGACAGAAAAGGTTTCGACTGTGATGAGCAATGCAAAACCTGTATTAGGAGGAAACTGTCACAACATCCTGTAGGCTACTGATTTGATTTGATTTGATTTGTATTCTTAGCACAAAGGCCTATTATTATTATTTTTTTTTTTATCTCTGCGGGAGAATAATTATTATTACATGTATTATAAATCCCATGTAATATATAATAATGTAATTATGAATAATAATAATAATTATAATTATATTATTATTTTTTATTTTTTTATTTTTTTTTATGCAATTTATTATAACAGGTTACATTGCTAAAGGGCTAATGCAGTTTCTCTGAAATGAGATTTGCAGGGTGGGGTGTCTAGATTTAATTTATTTATTTATTTATCGCCACTTATTTTGAGGTCATTTGATGAAAATGATGACGAAAATGTATGAAGATAATGAGAACCTCTGAAATTAGACAAAATATTTTTTTTTCGAGGCAGGCCTAATTTAATCAATAGTATTTCAGTAACAGTTTTATAAGGCATTTGGTGTAAAAAGCCTCGTTGTTGAGGCTAAGAAATTAATTTGTGGTTTGAAGCACATTGCCTGTTAAAGGTTTTTTTTGTTGTTTTTTTTTTTGAAAGGAGTCTCTTATGCTTACCAGGCTGCATTTATTTGATTAAAAGTAAAACCCATAATTACTATTAATAACTAATGCTGCCGGTTGGAAGTTTGGAATGATGATATTTTAAATGCTTTTCACAGAAGTCTCTTATGCTCACCAAGGCTTCTTTTATTTGATTAAAAATACAATAAGAAGCAGGTATGTTGTGAAATATTATTACAATTTCAAAGAACTGCTTTCTGTTTGATTATATTCTATTAGATTATATTATATTTAAAACTGAATTTATTTCTTGTGATGCAAAGCTGTATTTTCAGCATCATTACTCCAGTCTTCAGTGTCACATGATCCTTCAGAAATCATTCTGATATGCTGACTGCTGCGAAATTATTATTTGTATTTAATTACTAATAATGGTTCTAATTGTTAGTAAAGTTGAAAACGATTTTTGCTGCTTAATATTTTTTTGGAAATCATGATGCATTTTTTTCAGGATTCTTATGAATGATGAATAGAAATTCATATAACGGCATTGATTTAAAATAAAAAAAATGTTGTAACCTTAAATGTCTTTACTGTGCAGTTTTGATCTATTCAATGCATCCTTGCCGAATGAAAATATTTCTTTCTTTCTTTTTTTTTTGAAAAATCTAAATCATATATCCCTAACTTGTGAATGGTGTATCAGGTTTTCCACAAAAACATACAGCACCATAGCTTCATTTAACAACAGCAGAATCATAGAAGGAGCTGTTACAAAATACCTGAGATGTATAAAATAAAAATGAAAATGGGATGAATACTTAAATGTTACAAAAACGGCTTTTTACATCAAAAGTATATGACATTTCGCTCTCTCACTATGGCTCATATATCCACACTATACTGTATCACCATAGAAACCCACTCCCCAATGCCTTTTCCCAGTGTTCACCACCAGCTTATACAGTATGCTCGCCATATTAATGTTTCATCGAAAGAAATATCTTTGATATTTTTCCACAAAAATGGCTTTGTTCCTCCGGTTTTATTTATAAGGTTCTTGTCTGTGCCCTTTACACAAAAACAAACAAACAAACAAAACAAATAAAGGCCAGAAATAACAGAAAAATGTATACACTGTTAACATTTAATCTAGTTTCAACTATTATATCCCTAGGGAAATTAAATATACTAAAATGTATTTGAAATACATTAAGTATACTACATACATTTACATATTTATGTACTTAATTAAATGTCCTGCAATACTTTTAGTATACTAAATCATACGAAATACAAAAATCATACAATCCTCATCAATAGTGACATTAAAACACACTTTAGACTTAATATTAAGAAATGTGCATTGTCCAAATAAAGTTTAATCATAATTTATATCAGTGATATATCAGTAAATATGTAAACAGATCTGAACTATACTGAAATAAATGCATTTTATGAAATAATTTTTAATATTTTAAATATACTTCTTTTTTTTTTTACTAAGATTTACATTATAGCCATCCAGCTTTAATTTCTAACTGATCGTCAGGTTAAATCCTAGTAGAAATGACAGAAAGTATTATAAAAAGTTAAATGGATGGGAAGATATTTGATCATAACATTTATAATGGTGTACAAATGGTGTAAAATGCCTCACAAGAACAAATACGGGATAAATAAACAAATACAATAACAAGTATATAAGTATTTGAATATTTTATTGGTGACACTTTACAATAATCTTTCATTTGCTAACAGTAATTAACATAAACTAACATTTAACAAGCTTCTATAGCATTTATCAATATTTATTAATTAATATATAAACAACATTTATTATTAATATATGTAACCCTGGAGCACAAAACCAGTCATAAGGGTCAATTTTTTGAAAGTGAGATTTATACAACATCTGTAATCTGAATAAATAAGCTTTCCATTGATGTATGGTTTGTTAGGATATGACAATATTTGGTTGAGATACAACTATTTGAAAATCTGGAATCTGAGGGTGCAAAAAAATCAGAATATTGATAAAATCACCTTTAAAGTTGTCCAAATGAAGTTCTTAGCAATGCATATTACTAATCAAAAATTAAGTTTTGATATATTTACAGTAGGAAATTTACAAAATATCTTCATGGAACATTATCTTTACTTAATATCCTAATGATTTTTGGCATAAAAGAAAAATCAATAATTTTGACCCATACAATGCATTTATGGCTATTGCTACAAATATACCCCAGCGACTTAAGACTGCTTTTGTGCTCCAGGGTCACATATTTATTAATTCATTTATTATTTATTTTTTTATCATATTTATTGTATGAACATATTGATAAGGCGACCTCATCTCATCACCATCAACATTTTTGTGCTGATTCTATATTTTATTGTTAAATATGATTGTGATTTTTCATTGTAATTTGGTTTTGCAATTCAGCCCAAACCAGAAGAAATTTCCTTCCCAGCATCATCACAGGTCTCAGTAGTAAGCCAGAGCCAAGCTCACCTGAGCTCTTCATAAGCATATGCAAAAATAACATCCTTTCAAACCAATAGCTATCAGAAATGATCTGCTTGGATTAGCTAATGAGGAGGGAGGTGTTTTGTGGCCTCCTTGGGTTTAAGGGCACGGGTTTCACGCTCTCTCTGCACTTTAGCTCCCAGAACAGCAGGAGAGGGTCTCTGTTTCTCCATTGTTCCTGAAGATACACCTGAAGAGAAGCATACATCACTTCCCACCACCACCTGTCCAACGGTGAGTGCCTGCTTCTTAACATATACTATACTGCTCAAATGAAGTTGTTTTTGGTATCTAAATCAGAATTTTGAATACAGAAGTTACATTTTTTTAATTGCAATTGCATCCTTGCATTTTCCCAAGCGCATAAGTAATATGAGCTTAGCAGCATTTATGTTAATGTTTATACTAGTTTATTGGTACATTCAAATTGGACAGAAAAGCTTGTAAAAACTTCACTGTTCAATTAAAACAGGCATATACTGGATTTAGTATTCTGTTGGATCTCTAATTGCAATTTGTATTTGTAGTACTTAGTTTTTGAAGAAACATGGCACTTGCAGCACACCTGAAGCAAGATGACATTGCTGCAGCTATCCAGGCTTGTCAAGGTGTGACACACACACACACACAGTCACTCATCAACACATGCAACTGATATTTATGCTCATCTACAAGAACACATATTCATGTGTGCTTACACATGTTAAACAGCTATTCTCACTAACAGCAACAACATAAAGAGCTGCTTTAGTTACAGCTACACACACACACGCTCAGAGGGAGACTCCCATAGGCCGGGCATTGGGGATGGGTAGATCCAGGTATCCAGGCAGCCGGAGACTGGGGAGCAGCTGCCACCAGGATACCAGTGTGTTTGTGCCAAACATCCAGAACACACACACACTCTCTCTCACACACACACACACACACACACACACACACACACGCTCTCTCACACAATGCAATATGTCTAATATCTATTTTTGAATCACATGCACATGCAAATTACAGTCTCCGAAAAAACGGTACAAAGCGGTACCCATAAAAAGGTACTAATATGTACCTCTAAATGACTAATTATGTAGCTTTAAAGTAATATGTAGCATTTAGGGGTAAATAAGGTACAGAGATGTTTTGCTTTTGTAACTTAGGGTTTATTAAAAATTATTATACAACCATATTGAGTTAGCATTAATGCAACTAGTAGCAGTCCATTGTGCATCAATGCCAAAGTCAGACCAGAAAAGCTGTTGGTATTCTATTCCACTCTAAAATAAAATAACATTTAATAAATAAAAAAAAGGCCTACATTTCAGATTTATCTGAGTATGAAATTTCCATACAGTTTTAACATAAACTACTGTAATAAGTGATGCATATTCATCAGTAAAACATACATTAAACAGGTAAGAAATTGGTAAGATTTCTGCACAAATCATGGCATAGTTTATAAACTATTTGCATCTACTAGATTTTATTTAAGTAATTATGCATTTGAATGCATTTATTCAAGCATGTTCATTGTGAAAACCATTTATTCAGTTTAAAAGTATGAACATAGTTACAATATCACTGAAAAAAAAAGTGGTCTAGAAACAAATTTCACTTAGAAATTGCTCGTAAATTGCACAATTAATTATAAAGAAAAGGGCAAATAACAAACTGAAATTTGCAAGTAGAAAAACTGAAATAGTATTTTCTTGTAAAATGTACTCCAGTGATGTTAATGTAAGGCTAGCTGTGGAACAAGCAATATTCATGATCACTGATGATATATAATACATAAAGTTTAACTTTTGTTTATTTTCACGTATGTATGGCTGCCGAATATGCATCGCATTTGGTTTATTAGCTTGTGTTCATTCGAAATGGACGGAACTTTCATATCTTTTTAGGTCTAGACATTTCATATTCTATTTTGTTTATCATATTTTTGTCTTTCAGCCCCAGGGACTTTCAACTTCCAGGCGTTCTTTGAACATGTGGGCCTGCTAGGTAAAGCTGCTTCCGACGGGGAGAAGGTGTTCAAGGCCCTGGACCAGGACAAGAGCGGATTCATTGAAAAAGAGGAGCTGAAGTAAAGCATTCTCTTTAAACCTTGTCTATTCATGGATTGTAGCACTAGTATATGTAGTTGAATTGTCGCACGCTGTTCTTTGATTGTGTCTCCTCTCCAGACGCTTCCTCCAGAACTTCTGCCCGAAGGCCAGAGAGCTCACAGAGGCCGAGACCAACACTCTCCTGGCAGCTGGAGACAGTGATGGAGACGGCAAAATTGGCATGCAAGGTAAATCCAAATCAGCTCTTAGGCCTTGCAGAATAGGCCCCAGGGAGCCGTACTCCTGTAGAAACCAGGGCTCCTCCTTCACTGTCTGGCTCCTGACTTAATCAGCTGGACAAATGAGAATTAGACCAATTCTACTTCCTGGGAATTCACTGACTCTGGCAGTGAAGAAAATAACTTAGATTTGCATGTGAGAAGCATCCGCACTTTCATATTTACAGAATGTATTTTTTTCTTTCTTTCTGAGAAGTGTTCTATCATAGTAGATTACCGGTACATTCTAACATTTGGGGAATTTGGAAACATGGCCTAAAGATTTCTGCTTATATTGTTCAAATTAGTTTTGTAGAAGCTCACACACACACACACACACAAACACTCTCTCTCTCTCTCTCTCTCACACACACACACACACACACAC